AGATTTCAATTCTCCAGTACTATATCTCCCTGTGATTCTCATCATGTACCCCCAGCCCCTGGCTAAAGCTGTAGAATAAGGAAAAAACTGGCCTGGAGTTGTGGTCTCCTTCAGGGACTGAGAGACTTCACCACCTGCTTATACTGTGGGAGGCTCTCTCCAGGCGGATTAAGGAAGATGGAATCAACACTGGTTCTGAGCATCTGGGAATCAGGCCCTTGGGCTAACCTCCACCCTGCCCTCCTGTACACAAACACTCCCACCTATCTCTGCGTGCACAGGAGCCTGGCCTCCCTGAGAGGAGACATAATGGAAGCAAGTCCACATGCAGCTCCAGACCAGCTCCATGAGGCGTTTGGGTTGGGATCTTGGCTTCAGAAATTTTAGCAAGCATTCTATGACTTAGTACAAGATTTCCCATAAGGAAAGCACGTGTGCTCAAATAACCTCAATCCGAATTCGAATTCCCTCTGGTAGTGCGGACTGGGCCCTTCCAGGGCAGCTGCACAGAAAGCAGTTTTTACCGCCCACAGCTCTGGGCAACTGTGAGCAGTGGGTGTCTGAGGACCTTGGCCTAGGCTTTCCCCCATACCAATGTTCCCATTCCTGACTTAAGGTTCCCACGGGGTGAGCGGGTGGGGGCTGGAAAACATAACCGCTTGTGTTTTAAAACTAGCCAGTCCCGAGTTTGAATCCCATTTGGAAGTATATGTCTCTCAGCAGGGCACAGAGCAGGCCCTCAGGAACCCATGGGTCTTCCTCACTCTGGCCGCCCGCACCCACTTGGTCCCACCTCGGGACTCACCAGTTGCAGAGGCGCTTCTCCGTTCTGAAACACCAGAAGGAGAGGCGAATCTCCCGCCAGGAGCTTTCCACAGCGCAAGGAACAGGACTGCATGTGCCCTGACCTGACCCAGGTATATATGCTCCAGTAGATGCTCCAGCTATTATCCACGCCCACCAAAGCCTATTGGCTCGTCCCCACGTGGGAGGGTGAACCAGGTTAAGGGGATTTTCTGAGTTTTAACTTACTTAAATAAGTTAATTCCAGGGTGGAGTCTGCAACCAAGGTGATGATGACCCTTTGATAGGAATGTAACCCAGGACAACACTCTATTCACAGAGCCAAACTGGCTAGCACTGCTTTTTTGCTTTACAGGACTCACTGTTTTACAGGTTGATAGCACATCATAAATGTTGGAATTTTTTTTTTTAATGTGGGTGCTGTCAAATATAATTGAAAAATAAAGAAAAGTATATGGGTAATTTTTTACTTATCTATATGAATATCAATTTGCCTATTAAGTAATCTGTCAAAAATTGCGAGGCAGAATTTTATTTTTTTATTTTTTTAATTAAATTATTATCTGTGTACATACTTTAACATTACCCCCCCCTCCCATACATATCCTCCCTCCCCAGAGTTTTGTGTCCTTGGTTGTACTTATATGCATGTATACAAATCCTTCGGTTGATCTCTTATCTCCCCCAGATCTCCCTACCCACCCGGCTGTAATTTGACAGTCTGCTTGTTGCTTTACTGTCTCTATATCTATCTTTTGGTGCATCAGTTTATAATGTTCTTTATTATCCATAAATGAGTAAGGTCATGTGGTATTTCTCTATCATTGACTGGCTTATTTCACTCAGCTCAAAGAATATTTTTCAAAGCAAGTAACAATTAGGCTGGGATCTGAAGAAAGATGCCAGTACAAAGGGAGTAAACAGTGTGTGACAGGCAAGGAGCTGCACCTGCTTGTGCAAAGTTCTGTGGTAGGGGATGCCATACTCAGGCTAGTAGGAGGGGATTAGATCAATTTAAGTGTTTATTTATAGCAAGCATGTCAAACTCACCACCCAAGAATACTTTTTCCGCCCAGCCAATATAATGGTATATAGGAAAGGTTTTAATAAAAATGTCATAACTTAGCCTTGGCCAGTTTGGCTCAGTGGATAGAGTTGGCCTGTGGACTGAGGTTTTCCAGGTTAGATTCTGGCCAAGGGCATATGCCTGGGTTGCAGGCTTGATCCCTAGTATGGCATGTGCAGGAGGCACCCGATCAGAGAATCTCTCATCAATGATATTTCTACCTCTTTCTCCCTCTCTCTTACTCTCTGAAATCAATAAAAAAATATATTTTTAAAACGTCATAACTTAATTTTTAAGATATCCCATTATACATAATTATTAATAACAAATTATTAATACAACATCCCTTATGACTGATTACTATAATCGTGTTGCATTCATTTCCCTAACACATGTTACCTGCAGGCGCACCATTTCTTTCCACTAATACTAGCAGCAAATCTTTTAGCAGCTGACTGCCATATCATTAGTCTTATACTGACTTGTTTGGTGTGACAAATAGGAAATACTTTGCTTTCAGAGAATAAGAAAAATAGGTTTATTTGCATTACACTTTTCAATTTGTACAGTTATTCTGTGTCTGGTAAGTTAATGGTCAAGAAAAACATTAGAGCCTGGCTAGTCTCTCTTGATCCTCTAAACAACGTTTTTTTATTTGTTTGTTTGCTTGTTTGCTTATTTATTTACTAGAGGCCCAATGCACAAAATGCATGCATGGGGGAGGGTTGAGTGTGTGAATCTCAGCCCATTCCACACCCTCTCCATTCTGGGACTTCTTGAGAGCAGTGGAAAATTCCTCTCATAATCCAGGACTGCTGAGTCCCAACTGCTTGCCTGCCTGCCTGATCACCTCCTAACCACTACTGTGCCAGCGTGATCAATCCCTAACTGCTCTCTGCCAGCCCAATTTCCCATAACTGCTCTCTTCTGCCAGCCTGGTTACCCCTAATTGCCCTCCTTTGCCAGCCTTGTCACCCCTAACAATCCTGCCCTATAGACCTGGTAGCCTCCAACTGCCCTCCCCTGCAGGTCCAGTAACTCCTAACAGCCCTCACTTGACAGCCTGGTAACTCCCAATGCCCTCCCCTGAAGGCCTGATCCTCCCCAACTGCTGTCTCCCACAGACATGGTTGTCCCCAACTCCCCTCCTCTGCTGTCCTGGACACCCCCAAATGCCCACACCTGCAGGCTTGGATTCTCCCCAACTGTCCTCCCCTGTAGGCTTGGTCCACCCCATTGTCCTTCCCCTGTAGACCTAGTTGCCCCCCCCCCATGCCCCCAAATCCCCTCCCCTGCCAGCCTGGTCAACCCAACTTACCCTCCTCTACAGGCCTTGGTTCTTCCCAACTGTTTTTCCCTGCAGGTCTGGTCCCTCCCAACTGCCCTCCCCTATAGGACTGGTCCCCCCGAACTGCCCTCCTCTGCTGGCCTGCTTACCCCCAACTATCCTCCTTTGCTGGTCTGGTCCCCTCCAAGTGCCCTCCCCTGCAGAATAGATCTCCACAATTTCCCTCCCTTCCTAGCCTGGTCTCCCCACTATCTCCACTGCCAGCAGTCACCCCCAATGGCCCTCCTCTGCTTGCCATCTTGTGTTCACATGGGGGCAGCCATCTTTTGTGTTGGAGTGATGGTCAATTTGCATATTAATCTTTTATTAGATAGGATTCATTTAAAATCTTTACTGTTGAGCCCTGGCCAATTTGGCTCAGAGGTGGAGACTGGGTGAGATAACCAAAGTTTCTTGAGTTCCATTCACATCAAGGGCCTGTACCTTCTTTCCAGGTTCCTCGTAGCCCAGGGCCCAGGTAAGGGCCTGTGCAGGTGGAAACACATCAGTGTTTCTCTGTCTTTCTCTCTCTACTCTCCCCAAAAGTCAATGGAAAAATATCCACATGTGAGGATTAAAACTAAATTAAGAAATGAAATAAAAATACCCTTAAAAATAGTTGGAAGCCTGAGCCAGTTTGGCTCTGTGGCTAGAGTACTGGTTTGTGGACTGAAGGGTGTGTGTTCTGTTCTGGTCTAGGGCACATTCAGGGGTTGCAGGCTGCTTCCCCTTGCAAGAGGCAACCAATCAATGATTTTCTCTCACCATTGGTTTTTCTGTCTCCTTCCTCTCCCTCTCTAAAATCAATAAAAACAATATTTTAATAGATAGTTGGAAGCAATCAGTAACTTACTCTCTACACACACAAAAATATGAAACCACTGAAAGCCCCCACTCTACCCCCCATGAATCTGCCACCTCTCCCACCTGTAATACATAAGGTACTTATGCACAGACCTATGTCCCAAAGCAGACAATATTTGAGATTCATGCAAATATACAAAAACTTTATTGAACTGTGCCTTATAATGAACATTCTAATACAAAATTTCAGAAGCACTTAAGATATAATTGATCAATTAATATTTCAAATAACCCACACACCTTGATCTTGAGAAAAATGAGGCAAGGAAAAAGAGAGGACAAGTATTCATATCACAGAAGTGCTTTTTACAAAATATTGGTGTGAACCCTGGCCAGAGTACCTCAGTAAGTTGGAGAATTCTCCCATGCACAAAAGGGTGGGCAGGTTTGATTCTGGGTCAGGGAACATACCCAGATTGGGGTTCAATCCACAATGTGGGTGCATTCTGGACGCAGCCAATCAATGGTACCCTCTCACACTGATGTTTCCCTGTATCTCTTTGTTCAACTCTAAAAATCAGTGCAACAACAAATGTTGATGCTAGATCACTGATAGTTGTATGAAATTCTACCCCCAAAGACCTATGTTGTACTTTCATATATATACATATATAATAAATGTAAGGACCAGCTGTTTTAGCTCAATGGATAGAGCTTCAGCCTGTGGGCTGAACAATTCTGGGTTCCATTCAGGCAGGGACACATGCCATGGTTAGGGGCTGGATCAAAAATAGACTGTGCAGGAGGCAGCCAATCAACAATTCTCTCTCATCACTGATGTTTCTATTTCTAACCCAATTACTATCCCTCTCCCTTCCCTCTGACATCTATAAAATTATATTTAAAAATAAAAAGAACAATAAAATTAGGATTAAAAAATTCTACCTGCTGTCCCTAAATCACGGAAAGAAAATGAAGCAGAGTGACAGTTCATCCTTCCTAATCTCTAAAAGCACGGACAATAAGAGGTTTGGGGTCACATCCGATATAGAAGTAAGGCTTTAGCATTTCAGAAAATGTGTCCCTGAAGGAATAGATATGAGACATGTCATTCAAACTGTAAAAAGAAACCTGACCCAACTCATAGTCCAGATAGACGCCAATCCCTCTGGGCATTTTCTTCAGCACAAGGGTGACAGGAGCAGACCCTCCTGCCACATAGTCACCATCCAGCAGCTGAATCATCCAACATCTGTTCTTCTGTCTTAGCAGGGGCTGCTTTTTCTCCTCAGAGAGGGAGTCTTTACAGACCCCCACGGCCCACTCAGGCTTGTCATCCACCTGGACCTCCCAGTAATGTCGGCCACAGTCAAACCCTTTAGTACCCAGGACAACTGGGTCAACCATAAATCGCTTTGGATTCCACTGAACTCTTTGCTTTTTCTTCACAAATGTCACAGACTTTCTATCCTCAGACACCAGCAGATTAGGATGTGCAGTTTCAGGATCTAGGGTAATTTCTTCTCTAAATCTCTGTATAATTTTCTGCAGGGCTGAACATTGTGGAGGAAGACTGAACTCTTCTCTCTTGTACTGGAAAGAATAGACAGTTGGGGGTTGTAGTTTTTCACAACGGTCGAAGACATCTTTGATATTCATCATCATTTTTACATCTGACATCACACTCTTCTCTGCCAACTCCTTTAGTAGAACTTTAAGTTTGGAAATGTAGTCTGAAAATGCAGCTTTGTTTGCACTGAGATTCCGTTGAATGTGCTTCTCTTCTGCAGTTATCCTTGAAATAACTGCCTCTCGCTCACACTCAACAGACTCTATCAGCTGCTCAAATTCAGAGGCTAACTTTTCTCTCCTATTTTCCGCCTTTTCTCTCACCTGGTGGCCCTGGTGGTCAGGGGGCTGAGTGCACAGGGCACACAACAGCTGTAGGTCCTCCTCACAGAAGAGGGTCAGGGCCTGGTTGACTACTGTCCTTGGCGGCTCAGAGGATAGGAATCCAAGTTCAGCAATTCTCTTGGTCAGAATGCAATTGTGATTTTTGGATACCAACTGGTTCCTGTTGATGAGAAAATACAGTTTCATATTAGGAAGGAAGGAAGGAAGGAAGGAAGGAAGGAAGGAAGGAAGGAAGGAAGGAAGGAAGGAAGGAAGGAAGAAAGAGAGAAAGAAAGAGAGAAAGAAAAAAAAAACTAATTATTCATCTTGTGGCTCTGCCCTGTTAACTGCCACCTTTTGGGAAACAATTGATTTATTTTCCCCAGCCAAACATGTGGACTACACCCACATTCATCACTGTGGGTATACATGGAACTGCAAAACATGTGAGAATGTTTCCTACTAGATTCTATGTCTGTGGGCTAGGTTCCACCTTTAGTCACCTATTATCTAGGGCACATGTGTCAAACACAAGGCCGCGGGCCAAATCCATCCCGCCAGGCCTTGCAATGTCGCCAGCACCGCGCTGTCATCACTGCACTCCACTGCGTTTCCATCACAATGACAGTTTATGACTGTTCAGTAAACCATTCGGCCCGCGATTTAGGCTGGATTTTAGATTTTGGCCCCTTCTCTGATTGAGTTCGACACCCCTAATCTAGGGGGTTAGGGAAAGTGCTTTACATCCTTAACAGTAGAGTCAGGTAAACAATTGTAAAAATCCCAACATCCATCACTTCCAGTTTTTGAAAAACCTCAGCAATGGATCTGGCACTTTTTGTCTTAACATGGTTATTTCTGCCCTGGCCAGTGTGTGCCACTGATTACAGTGTTGACCCGATTACCCAAGAGCCTTGGGTTTTCCGTTCAAGAGCATGTGCCTACTGCAGGTTGTATCCCCAGCTCCGATGGGGGCAATCTCAGGAGGCAACCAATGGACTTGCCTCCCACAGCAACGCTTTTCCTTTCTCCTCCACCCCACTCCCTCACTGCCTTCCACTCTCTACAAAACCAAAAATGGAAATATATTCTCAGGTGAGGATTAGCAGAGAAAAAAGAAGTAATTTCTAGTAACACTGAATTTATGAGGGTCAAACCTCATCTCCCATCCCAAACAATACAGTCTCTCAACCAAATTGTTCACAGAAAATGTCTCAGTTGTCCACCAAAACTTGTTTTCCACCTGAGAGCTCTTTCATGCTGATACCTCCCCGTGACAAAAAGTATCTCAGACAAAAAAACAAAAAACAAACAACAAAAAACCACAGGAAAGAATGCTTTTGTTGGTGGCTAAATCAATAATTAGCACAATTTGCCGAAACCGGTTTGGCTCAGTGGATAGAGTGTCAGCCTGTGGACTGAAAGGTCCCGGGTTCGATTCCGGTCAAGGGCATGTACCTTGTTTGCGGGCACATCCCCAGTGGGAGGTGTGCAAGAGGCAGCTGATTGATGATTCTCTCTCATCGATGTTTCTAATTCTCTATCCCTCTCCCTTCCTCTCTGTGAAAAATCAATAAAATATATTTTAAAAAAATTAGCACAATTTCAAAACATAATGTGATCATCAACAGAGCTAATGTTGTCCTAGAAGCTAAGGTCTAGTGTATGTATAGAGGTTTGGAATGAGTACCTAAGGGTCCCAAGTTCATTTCCATCTAAAGGCGTGTACCTGGGTTGCAGGCATCTCTGTGCCCTGGCCCAGGTATGGGCACCTGCAGGAGCCAGCAAATCAACATGTTTCTCTCACATACATATTTCTTTGTTTCTGTCTCTCTTCCAGTCTCTGAAAATATCAATGGGAAAATATCCTAGAAGATGGTACATAGAAAATGGTACACTGTTGGGGAGATCTGGGGGAGATAAGAGATCAACCGAAGGACTTGTATACATGCATATAAGTACAACCAATGGACACAAAACTATGGGGAGGGAGGGTATGTACGGGAGGGGGGAGGGCATTGGTATATGTACAAAAATAATAATTTAATTCAAAAAATATATTATTAAAAAAAGAAAGAAAATGGTACCCTGCCCCAGGTGATTTCTGTGACAGGATGACTTGATGATCCTTTTTGTCCTCAGTCAAATTCTAAAATTCATTAGAAAGGCTTCTAACATTTCTCCTCAATACTGCTAAGTGTGTGAAGGTACTCTCAAAATTATCACAACCAGCCAAAACGAGTTTGGCTCAGTGTTTAGAGTATCGGCCTGCAGACTGAGGGGTCCCAGGTTCGATTCTGGTCAAGGGCATGTACCTTGGTTGGGGGCACATCCTCAGTAGGGGTTATGCAAGAGGCAGCTGATCAATGATTCTCTCTCATCGATGTTTCTAACTCTCTATCCCTCTCTCTTCCTCTCTGTGAAAAATCAATAATTAATATATATATATATATATATATATATATATATATATATTAAAAAAAAAAAAGGATCACAAACAATGGGTGTGTTTCTCTCAAATCCCGGTTTCTCTACATCATTCCCTCTCTCTTCCACTTCCAGTCTACCTAAAAAGCAATGAGATAATAGCCTTGGGAAAGAACTGAAAAAAAGAAAGAAAGAAAGAAAGAAAGAAAGAAAGAAAGAAAGAAAGAAAGAAAGAAAGAAGAGAAAAAAGAAAAGAAAGAAGAAAGAAGAAGAAGAAAGAAGAAAGAAAGAGAAAGAAAGAAAGAAAGAAAGAAAGAAAGAAAGAAAGAAAGAAAGAAAGAAAGAAAGAATACACTGCTAACTGTGCTAGGGGAGTGTGCTCCCAAACAACAATCACAAGCAATTGCAAAGGTAAACAAAACTTGTTGATTGGATAAAGGAAGATCCGTTAACCAGCAATACCATTTCCAAGGCAGTTTTATATTTAAAAATCCTTTAAGGCACAGATCTTAGCAGAAACCAAGCGGCTAAAATGACCTCCAGGATGACTCTCCTAGGTTGCCTCAATGCCAAGAAACATTAAAAGCACTATCATGATTTTTTTTTTTATTTCTCACAAAATAACACACATTTGGAAGATTTCAATTCTCCAGTACTATATCTCCCTGTGATTCTCACCATGTACCCCCAGCCCCTGGCTAAAGCTGTCGAATAAGGAAAAAACTGGCCTGGAGTTGTGGTCTCCTTCAGTGACTGAGAGACTTCACCACCTGCTTATACTGTGGGAGGCTCTCTCCAGGCCGATTAAGGAAGATGGAATCAATACTGGTTCTGAGCATCTGGGAATCAGGCCCTTGGGCTAACCTCCACCCTGCCCTCCTGTACACAAACACTCCCACCTATCTCCGCGTGCACAGGAGCCCGGCCTCCCCGAGAGGAGACATAATGGAAGCAAGTCCATATGTAGCTCCAGACCAGCTCCATAAGGCGTTTGACACCCGCTAAGATCCGGATGGGATCCTGGTTTCAGAAATTTTAGCAAGCATTCTATTAGACTTAGTACAAGATTCCCCATAAGGAAAGCATGTGTGCTCAAATAACCTCAATCGGAATTCGAATTCCCTCTGGTAGTGCGGACTGGGCCCTTCCAGGGCAGCTGCACAGAAAGCAGTTTTTACCGCCCACAGCTCTGGGCAACTGTGAGCAGCGGGTGTCTGAGGACCTTGGCCTTGGCTTTACCACAAACCAATGTTCTCATTCCTGACTCCTGGGGCATCACGTCTGGATGGATAAAATTTTAAAGGGCATTTAGGTGACTTAAGGTTCCCACGGGGTTGGGGGAAGGGGAGAAAACATAACCGCTTATGTTTTAAAACTAGCCAGTCCCGAGTTTGAATTCCCTTTGGAGGTCTATATCTTTCATTGGGGCACAGAGCAGGCCCTCGGGGAACCCACGGGTCTTCCTCACTCTGGCCTCCCGCACCCACTTGGTCCCAACTCCAGACTCACCAGTTGCAGAGGCGCTTCTCCGTTGTGAAACGCCAAAGGGAGAGGCGAATCTCCCACCAGGAGCTTTCCACAGCGCGAGGCACAGGACTGCCTGCAGGACTGCCTGAGCCCAGACCTGACCCAGGTATATATGCTCCAGTAGAAGCTCCAGCTATTATCCACGCCCACCAAAGCCTATTGGCTGGTCCCCCACCGGGGAGGGGTGAACCAGGGTAAGGGGATTTTCATTGCTTTCTTGAGGCTAAAAAGGATTAAAGCTGGTAATATGCATGATCTGATTTGCATCTTGGCTATTCTCACTTGATCTTCTCTACAATATTTTATTTGTTTAAATAAATTTTTTTACTTAATGTAATCTATCTATATATATTATTGATTTCAGAGAGAGAAAAAGAGAGAGAGGACACATCATTGATGAGAGAGAACCATTGATTGATGCCTCCTTCACACAGCTACTGGAGTAGAGCTGACAACCCAAGCTTGTGTCCTGGACTGGAATGGAACGGGGACACTAGCCTATAGACCACCCCTCTACCCACTGAGTCAAACCAGCTAGGACGTATTGAAATCTTTATTGGTGAGCCCTAGCTCGTTTTTGTCAGTGGATAGGGCTTTGCCTGCAGACTGCAGGTCCCAGCTTTCACTTGGTTCAAGAGTACCTATCTTGATTGCAGGCGCTTCTGCCACATGGAACATGGACAAGGCATGTGCAGGAGGCAACCAATTGATGTGTTTCTCTCACTGGGATGTTTCTGTCTTCTCTCTCCCTTCCACTGTCTCTTAAAATCATTGCTGTGAAAAAGAGTATGGAGTTTCCTCAAAAAGTTCAAAATGGAACTCCCATTTCACCCAGTAATCCCATTCTAAGATTTTATCCCAAGGAACCAAAAACACCAGTCAGAAAGGATATGTGCACCCCTATGCTCATAGCTGCACAATTCACCATAGCTAAGATTTGGAAACATCCTAAGTCCCCATCAGCAGATTAGTGGATTTAGTAATTGTGGTGCATCTACACAATGGAATACTACGCTGCTATAAAAAAAAGAAGAAACAGCCGAAACCGGTTTGGCTCAGTGATAGAACGTCCGTCTGTGGACTGAAAGGTCCCAGGTTCGATTCCAGTCAAGGGCATGTACATTGGTTGAGGGCACATCCCCGGAGGGGGGTGTGCAAGAGGCAGCTGGTGGATGTTTCTCTCTCATCGACGTTTCTAGCTCTCTATCCCTCTCTCCTCCTTCTATAAAAAATCAATAAAACATATTTTAAAA